TCTAGCTGTAGGATCTCCGAGTCAAAGGCATAGACATTTAAGTACATATATACTTTCTTAGAATGGTTCCTTACCTGTATCTTATAGTGTTGCTGTAAGGCAAGCTTTCTGCAAAAGTTTAAGTACTATGTTATTATATTATTAATTATTATTGTTACCCAACTCTAAGCAAGCTTTCTGAAACTTTCAGCAGTTTCATGTCTCTTTATATTCATTTCCTAATTTGATCATAAATATCATTCAGCAGTTGAAACACAGCTTTCTGGCTTGGAACTTCAGTCATTGGTTACCTATTTTTTTAGATGATATAGGAAGTCAGGAGACCTGGATTCTCACCTCAGATTTGCTATTTACTAATTGTGTAACTTTGTTTAAAAAAAATCATTAAAAATTAAATCACTTTGTCTTTCTTGGCCTGTTTCTTCTTCTGTAAAATGGAGTGGACTATGTAATCTCCAAGGCCTCTTCTAGCTTAAATAAAAGCCCACTTTCTACAGGAAGCCATTTCTCACCCATCTTAATTCCAATACCTTCCCTCTATTAATTATTTCCTACATATCCTGTGGCAGACAGGTGGCTCAGTGAACAGAGTACCAGGTCTAGAGTCAGGAAGACTCATCCTCAGATACTTACTAGCTATGTGACCCTGGGCAAGTCATTTAACCTGGTTTGCCTCAGCTCCTTATCTGTAAAATGAGCTAGAAAAGGAAATGGCAGGCCAGTACAGTATTTTTGTCAAGAAAACCCCACCTAGGGTCACAAAACAAATTGAACATGACCAAAAAACAATCTAACACCATTTATCTGTTCTATAGCTTCCCTTGTTTATCTTTGTTTGAATGTTGTCACCCTTCTTAGATTGTAAGTTTCTTGAGGGCAAGGACTGTCTTTTGCTTCTTTTTGGATCCCTAGCACTTAGGGATACTATGTCTAGCACGTAGTAGCTGCTTAATAAATATGGATTGATTGATTGAAATAATGCCTTGGGCTTCTTTAAGGATCTTTCTCCTTGTCCATTTCTTAAGTCAGTCAACATCTTGTCTCTGAAGGTTTCTTTACTATATCCTTTAGCTTTTGGTCAACTCATCTTGCCAGTCTCTGTCAAAGAAAGCCTCAAGGAAAGAAAATCTAGCATCTCTCCACTTCCAGCTATTAAAACCCATATCTCTCTAAACAATTAGAAAAGCCTTATGTTTTTTTCTTTATTTGGAGTAATCAGAGTCAAGTATCCCCTGTCCTTTCTCAGTTTCTTAAATATAAATTTAATCATTTTTAGTCAACCCCCTTTAGCAACGATCTTCTCTCAGAACTGCCCCAGTTACAGTTGAAAGTGATAGTATCTATTACTGCAGAACAATTTTCTGATTTCATTATACTATCTGATGCTTTAGAAGTCAAATGAAGATGGTTCCTGATATTACTCTCTGGGCTTGAACTATATATAGTAGGTAGCAAAGATTCTGCCTGCCATACCACATTCATACTGCTTGTGGCCTAGAGCCACAGCTATGAATATGCCATTGGTGAGCCCATACTGTTCAAAAACCAATCCAAAATGCCTCAATCCTGGATCTTTCTGACATCAGAAAGCAGGGAAAGGCTTCAACATGTACAGGACCCTGCAAAATACGTCAGCCTTGGTTGGAGCATGGTTAAATGGGCATACTGAAGCCAAGCCAAGCCAACTTTTACTGACTCTGAGATCGGATTTGATAAATTTTCGGTGTGAACATTTACATCTAAGAAATTGGCAAATGCTAGAAATCAGGTGGTGCAATGGATAGAGTGCTGGGCCTGCAGTCAGGAAGACTCATCTTCCTGAGTTCAAATTTAGTCTTAGATGCTTACTAGCTGTTTGATCCTGGGCAAGTCACTTCACCTTGTTTGCCTCAGTTTTTTCATCTGTAACATGAGTTGGAGAAGGAAATGGCAAATTGCTCCAGTATCTCTGCCAAGAAAATCCCAAATTGAGCCATGAAGAGTTGGCATGACTGAAACAATAGAATAAGAATAATAACACAATTTGGGGCTTGATTTGTTGTTTTATTGGTTGGGGCAGTTAGAATAGAGCACCGGCCCTGGATTCAGGAGGATTTGAGTTCAAATTCAGCCTCAGACCAAACACTTGAACACTTATTAGCTGTGTGATCCTGGGCAAGTCACTTAACCCCACTGCCTAGCCAAAAGAAAAGAAAAGAAAAGAAAGTAATGGAGGAAAAGTTAATAATGCAGATTAAGCTTAAAAGTGTGTTGTATATATTTTTCCCCTCCAAGAACCAGTTAAACACCTATTAGAATGTCATTCCATAGTTATACAGCCATTTGGAATACTTCTAAGGTTTCTTGTTGTTGTTGTTGGGTTTTTTTTTCATTTTTTAGGGATCTGAAGTGGTTATAGTGGGGTGAAGACTTGTGATTTCATCAATGTGGGGAACTCTTGGGGCTTCCTCCTAACTTCTAGTGTTAGAGGGCTGCCTGGGGAGCATTGAAAGGTTAAGGTGACTTAATCAAAGTAGCACAGGTATTATGTATAGGGCCAAGACCTGAACCCCAATCTTGACCACCACTATCATTATTCCATGCTACCTCTGAAAAGTTAACCTCCTTAATTATGGATTTCAATTTCTATCTCTCTCTTTATTTTTTTTACTGAGGTAATAGGGGTTAAGTGATTTGCCCAGAGTCACACAGCTAGTGAGAGTTATGTGTCTGAGGTCACATTTGAACTCAGGTCCTCCTGACTCCAGGGCCGGTGTTCTATCCACTAGGCCACCTAGCTGCCCCCTTGGATTTCAATTTCTCAAACTGGTTAGGGGCATCTTCCTTCCAGAAGGTGTGAACCAGATAGCCTAAGTATGAGCTTGGTGACCTCTCAAGATCCTTTCCAACCCAGTGCCTCTAACAGTGCAGCAAACAGATGTATGGCAATTTCAGTTTGTGGCAGCTGCACGCAAATCTTCGAGTTAGAGCATATTCTTGGAGTTTTCTTTGAGTTTGCCTTCAGGCACCCCATCCTCCCCCAAACCCCAGTTAAACTCATGCAAAGCTAATGTTTCTGGTTGCTGTGGAATGGAGATGCTAGCTTCTCATCTTGCACCTCACTTCCTTGATCTGAGTTGAACTTTGAATATGCAACACCCAGTGATTTCCAAGGGGCCTCATCTATGTTGCCTCAAGAGTAGAGTCATTCATGGGGCGGAACAGTATAACCACTGGATTTCTCTTGGATTTCTTTTGTAACCATAAATCACTGTTTTCCTTCTCCAAACTCAGCCAAGGTTTGCTAGAAATGTGGCCTCAGTTTATTTAAATAAAAGAGACTACTACCAACTCAATCTACTACTAACTGAATCCAGATTTGCTGAAAGGTTTGCAGATTGCTGAAGTCTCCATTCCCCTACACATAAACACACACACACACACACACATACACACACACACACACAATTTGGGCGTCAGTTTACACAAGCATCAGTCATTTCTGGGACTAAAGGCCAAAGTAGAAGCAGGTTGGAGATTGCAGCTGAAAAACCACTTAATGTGGAAAGGCAGTATGTAGTTCCTCCATGAATACTGAGGGTGAAGTCAAAGTCAGAGTTTGGGGTGGATAAAATAAACTAGGGAATACAAATGAGGTAAATAAATACAAAATATATGCAAAGTAAATACAAAATAATTTGGTCAGGGGTTGGGAGGAGGATGCTGTCACTGGGATGAATCAGGACAACCTCTTATAGAAGGTGGTTTTTGAGTTGATCCTTAAAGGAAGCTAGGATTCCAATAGATAGAGTTGTGAGGTGTGGGGGACAACATCATGCATGTCTCTTATGCCTCCTTGCAGGAATTCTATCTAGAAAGCTAGGTTGCCTGACACAAATGGGAATACTGGAAAGATCACTTCCCTCATTGTGGAAAACTAGTGTGGGACCACTCTCCACCTATTTAGATCCCAACCTGTACTAAATAGATAATTCCTGGGGAAATTTACCTAATACACACAGAAATTTTTGTTCAGGGTCACACTGCTAGTCAGTGTCAAATGTGGGACTTGAACCCCAACCTTCCTGACTCAAAGTCTAGTATTCAGTCTATTATGTGATAGATCCTGACACTATAATAAATCTTAAATTTAGAAGTGTAAGAAAGCTTAGAGGCCATTAAGTCCAGTCTCCCCACTTTACAGATGAGGAAACTGAAGCCCAGAGAGGTTATATGCCTTGCCTAAGGTTGTGTTAATTGTATAGTACACTATTGACATAGTATACCATTAATTGCATTAATGGTATAATTAGATCCTCTAATTGTGCTTTTTCTGTTGTACTGTGTTCCTTGATATTTCCACACATACAAAGTAGGTTATGTAGCAGATTTATAAAAAACTAAGTATTGGACTAGAGGGCAGCTAGGTAGCACAGTGCCTGGCCTGGAGTCAGAAGGATCTGAATTCAAATGTGGCCTCAGACAGTTAGTAACTGTTTGACCCTGGGCAGATCACTTCACCCTGTTTGTTTTAGTTTCCTCTTCTATAAAATGAGTTAGAGAAGAAAATGCAAACCACTTCAATATTTTTGCCAAGAAAACCCCAGATAAGTTCATGAAGAGTCAAACAAGACTAAAACGACTCAATAACAGCAAAGGTGGTGCAGTGGATAGAATACCAGGCCTGGAGACAGGAAGACCTGAATTCAGATCCAGTCTATCTATCCAGACACTAATAGCTGTGTTATCCTGGGCAAGTCATTTAACATTGGTTGGCCTCAGTCTTCTCATCTGTAAAATAGGGATGATACTAACACCTACCTCCCAGGGTTGTTGTGAGGATCAAACGAGATAATTGTAAAGTGCTTAGCACCTGCAACATAGTAAGTGCTGTACAAATGTTAGCTTTTATTATTATTATTAATTGTTATTATTAATTATTATTATTGCAGCTCAAACTCAAATTAGAAATTCAAGAGTCTAAAACATTTCTAATTAGTATTCATTGTTTCTTTGTCCAGGTGTTATACAATATCTTAATTGCCTTCACGAAGATGCATAAATTTGAAGACATAGAACCTGTCGACATTTTGGCTGGATTTGCCCGGTTTATTGTGGTAGGGGTTGGGGGGGTGTTTTTTGGCATCATCTTCGGCTTCATTTCTGCCTTTATCACACGTTTTACACAGAACATTTCTGCAATTGAACCACTGATCGTCTTCATGTTCAGCTACTTGTCTTATTTAGCTGCTGAAACACTCTACCTCTCTGGCATCCTGGCGTGAGTACAAATTAAGAATCATCCCTCACAGTAATGAAAAGAAAACCAGAGCAGCCTTATGGGGACCATTTGTAATCAATCAATCAATCCACACTCATTTGCTGAGCACCTAATGCGTGCCAGGCTCTGGAGATACAAAGACAGTCCCTGCCCACAAGTAGCTTGCATTCTGTCTGGGGCCCGCATGAGAAAAAGGCATTACTTTTGAAATTAACCCTCTAAGGTGTTAAGGATTTATAGTTTTGAATGTTCACAGTATCTAATTCAGTCCCTTTGCATGGCACGAATGTTTCCCCAACATTTGCATTTGCATTCCCTTCATTATTTGCCTAGGGAAGAGTTGTGGTTTCGTAATATCAGTTTAGAATCTTCAGCAATGCTAAAGGAGAAAGCAGTAAGAATATTTCAGTGTTAATTTTCTATTACTAACTTCCAGTAATGAGAAATTACCGAATTAATAGTACCTTTCAATTAATTAAAGGTCTGAAGCCTCCAAAATAATTCAATTATAAAATGTGAATTATAAAATTCAAAAGAAATCAAAATTATATATATAATTACATATATTAGTTATATAAAAGTATATATGATTTTATATATAATGTGCTCTTTGAAATGGAGAGAAAGGAATTGGAATGTGGAAATTTGGGGTAAAAGCTAAACTGGTGACTTAAAGTGGAAGATGCAAGCTATCCTTTCCACTCTTTACAAATAGACCTATTGACATTTTATCATGTAAAGGTTATACCATGCCCACTCTTCCCAAGTTATTATATCACAATTGTCAGGAACAAATACTGGCTGTTTGGCATTGCATTAACTACTCTATTTTGAAAAATTAAGTTGCTTCCACCTCTTAACTTTAGGGAGATCTTTAACTCTATTTGTGTGTGTCATAGACCTCTTTAGCAATTTTGTGAGGATTATGGGCTCCTTCTCAGTGTAATATTTTTTAAATGAATGAATTAAAATGCATAAGATTGCAATGGAAACCAATTAGATCAAAATAGTTTTATATATATATATATATGTACACAGATATATACATATATAACTATGTGTGTGTATGTGTATACATATATTATATTACAAGGCTTAACATAAAAACCTTGTCTTTATATAAAATGGTTGTATATATATTTATATATGAAGATTTACATACCTACATATATACCTTTATATATTTATCTATGTCTATATCTATACCTTTATATATCTGGTTAAAACCTTTACATAATTGGTTTTATAAAACTGGATCCCAGGTTAAGAATTCTTACCTTAGAGAGATGTTCAGTGTCAGAAAAAGAATTTTTTAAAAAAATCTACAGTATGGCAACAAAGGAGGAAGGTCATTTGGGTTAAAAGATAGGATAAGTATATAGCTATCCTGTCAGTAAGATGATTTTTGAAGTTTTCATTGAAGAATTGGTAGCTTTGACTGACACTCTGTTGCACCTATAGGATCACAGCTTGTGCCGTGACAATGAAAAAGTATGTGGAAGAAAATGTGTCACAGACCTCCTACACCACCATCAAATACTTCATGAAGATGCTGAGCAGTGTCAGTGAGACCCTGATCTTCATCTTCATGGGAGTGTCGACAGTGGGAAAAGACCATGAGTGGAACTGGGCCTTTGTCTGCTTCACCCTGATCTTCTGCCAGATTTGGAGAGCAATAAGTAAGAAGCCAGCCTTTCAATGTCACAACCCTGGAGAGTTGCAATGCTGTCTTTTTTTTTTTAAGGAAAAAAATAGATTCATTACAAAAATAAAGTAGAAACTTGACACTAACCGGTTTAACCAGTCAGGAAAAAATAGGTATGTTACACAGCCAGGAAACATTTTTCACCTACGCACACAGATCAGAACATTTTTCACATGATAAGACAATACACAATTGCCTAAAGCAGTGGTTTCCAGACTGTTTTTATCATGCACACCATTAGTAAAAAAAAAATGAACGTGGACCCCGATAGATACACATTTCTTTATTTATGCTACGTATATGTTTTACTGTATTAATAGTGTGTATTATAAAACTCACATAAAAACAGAAATCAATCAATCAAGGACAAGCTTGCTGTATACCAGGGACTATGGGAAGTAATGACATACAAAGAAAAGCAAAAAACAAAACAGAACAAAACAAAAAACTGTCCCTGCTTTCAAAGCGATCACATTCTAATGGGAGAGAAAACATAAAAAAACTAAGTAGAGACAAGATACATACAGTGTAAACAGCCTTTTGCAGAAAGTGGGATTTGAGCTGAGATTTGAAGGAAGCCAAGGAATCCAGGAAGTAGAAGGAGGAAGAACAAACAAGGTATAAGGACAGTCAGTGGAAACACACAGGGTCTAAAGAATAAGTGTCATGTCCAAGGAGTATCAAGAGGGCCAGTTATGACAGGAAGGGGCAAAGTTGTGAAGGACTTTAAAAGTCAGAGGATTTTATATTTAACCCTCAAAGTAATAAGAATTGGAATTTATTGATAAGGGGTGTGACATTTTTAAAAGATGAGATGAAGGTGAAATAATATTATTCTAGATTAAATAGGGAACCACTGGAGATCATTGAGGAAGGTGATTTGGTCAGACCTGAACTTTAGGAAAATCAATTTGGCAATTGAATGGAGGATGGAATGGATTGGGATGGGGGCGGGATTGAAACAAGACGACCAGGTAAAGGCTATTGCAATGGACTAGGACAGGGATGATGAGGGCCTGACCTAAGATGAAGGATATGTGAGTACAGAGAATGGGACAGATACTAGGGATGTTGTAGAGTTAGAGACAATCACATTTGGAAACTGATTAAATTGTGATAACGAAGAGTGAGGGACTGAAGATGACACCAAAGTTGCAATCTTGGAAAATGGTGGTGCTCTTGACAGTAAGAGGGAAGTCTTGAACAATGTTGGGTTTGGGGATAAAGAAAATAGAGTGAGATCTGTGTTATCCAATTCGCCCATGTCAGCTAACTCTGCCCTACTCTAAATGAGAAAAAGAGGAGATAAGCTTTTTACTCACCCATGAACTCACCCAGTGAATTTATCATTACTTCCCTAAAGCACAGAGATTCTCTGAAGGGGTGCCTTCCAAAACCAATAGATGCTCTGGGAAGGTGGTGGGGAATAAGGCGGAGAGAGGTGGATTTTCCCAGAGGCATCTGTGCCCTGGTATCAGTCATAACAGTCTGGGGGGAAGGGCAAACCCAGTTCTGAAGGAGAGAGGTTGGGAATTTGCACACAGGGTAAGGGAATGTTAGGAGATAAGGATCATTATAGTTATATTGGTAATGAACCCATTGACAGTGAGATCCACCCTCTGATTGGTGGATTATATAATCTTTAGGGTTAGGCTATGGCTTCTATGCAATCACGCCAGAGTGTTGCCTGAGGGGCAGAGAACCCACTTGACAGATTGCTTGTTGTAGTTTCATTGTTGAGTCACTGAGTGCTCAAATCTTCATGACCCCATAGACTAGACCTGCCCAACTTGTAAACTTCTTCAGGCTGCAGATAGGTTAGACTACAGACTGACTGATGGCAGTTGGGTGCCACCGGTCATGTGACACTGCAGAAACCCTACATTTTTTGCCGGCTGCCAAAATACTTTGGTGGACCACCTGTATGTTGTGCAGGTCTGCTGTAGGCATAGCATACTACATCCTTCTGTCATCCATTATCTCTCAAAGTCTGTCCAAGTTCATGTTCATTGTTTCCATGACACTATCTACCCATCTCATCTTCTGCCATCTCCCTTCCTTTTGCCTTCAATCTTTCCCAACATCAGGGTCTTTTCCAAAGAGTTTTGTCTTCCCATTATGTGGCCAAATTATGTGCAGATCACTGGTCCAGAGTGAATGGGCTTTAAAAAAAATGTTAAGAGAACTTTTACATCAACACATTTATATTTAGACTGATAAATTTGTCCCCATCCCTCTCACCTATCTGCCAATTTCTACATTCTTGCATTTTAAATCAGCTATAGATTATAAACAGCTATAAATTGTGCAGTTTTTTTGAGTGATAAGGATGAGATCTCACAAATTATATCCTGGGTCAAACAAATCTTAGCACTGTTAGAAGACTTTCCCCTAAAATAGGACAGCAGCTCATGATTTGGAATAAGTGTTAAGGATCTTGAGAAAATATACCTGGCATAAGGGAAAACAGTTTATCAGACCTTATTTTTTTCAGTTTTTTTTTCATTTTAAACTTAAATGCACAATAAGAAGAGAAAAAGAAACATTATAAACTTAAATATTGAAACAAATACAAAGTAAGAAAAAAAAGCATTGCCATGTGCACAGCAGGACACAAGAGGATTCAAAATATACAACAATAAATTTCCATTTCAAGAAGTCCTTTATTATAAATACTGCATGTTATGTTCAGAGCTGTCCATCTTTTCTCTGCTCCCTTGTAAGTTTTCTTTTGTTCTCTGCTATGCACTTTTTACGTTGTTCTTTTTTTCCCCCCTTCCTCTGCCCTTCCTCCATACACCTATACATATACTTAGATATCCATAATCATACTCATATATAGACATATACATTCATATGCATCCATGTAAGATCATACTATACTTATTTGTCTTCTGTTTCTCTGAGGATAGATAACCTCTTCCTTCATAAGTCCAAAGTCTTTCCATCTTTTTCTAAGTCTACCAACTCATCATTTCCTATACTACAGCAATATACCCACCTTATCCTATCTAGTGATTTTAAATAGTCTAAAACAATATTGATTAATATGGGTGGCATACAGTGTAGTTTCCTTATTTTTCTCTTTTGAACAAATCTATTTTAGCTTTAATTTTGTCTAAAATCACGAGTATGATCCCGCTTTTTTCCCTAATAAATTCTACTCCTGATTATGTTTGTGCATGTCTCTTATTTCTTATCCCCCAGACTCCTCTATTTTATTTCTACCCACTACCTTGCCCTCCTATTACTTAATCTACCCCTCCTCCAAGGATCCCTCCCTTATCCTCCTATTCCCATTAATCTAAACACACTTCAATATCTCTACTTCATCCTAGTCCCTCATCCTCCCCTCTAAAAATCCTTCCTTTATCCTATCCCCCTCCTTATCCCCTTAGCCTTTTATTTCTATTTGTATTTAGATTTTTATACCATTCTAAATATATATATGTATTGTTCTCTCTTAAAGCCACTCCCAATGAAAGTAGGATTCCAGAACTACCAGCCCTCCTCCCCCATCTAATTCCTCTGTGTCAGTTCTTCCTCTTGAACTTCATTTGTATAAGATAGTTACTTTTTACCTTTTCCTAAATGATTTTATTTTTAGAATCCTATCATGCTAAGGTCTACTCCAATCTTTCTTTTGAACTATCCAATTACTAATAACAATCTTAGATATAACCTTTTACATTTCCTCATAATAAAAGTAAATGATTTGTCCTTATTGACTCCCTTGTAATTCGTCTTTGATATGTACCTTATATTTCTCTTGATCTTATATGTCATATCTTTTAAGTTCGGTTTTTTTAAAAAACAAAATCCTGAAAATCTGCCCATTCATTAAATTTCCATTCTTTTCATTCAGGATTATGCGTAACCTTGCTGGGTATAATATTTTCAGCTGCATCCCCAGTTCTTTGGCTCTTCAATATGTAGTGTTCCAAGATCTGTGTTCTTTTAATATCTCCACTGCTAGGTCTTGTGTGATTCTAATTGTGGCACCACTGTATTTAAATTGTTCTTTTCTTGTTGCTCATGATATTTTCTCCTTCAGCTAGAAATTTTGGAATTTGACTATGGTATTCCTGTAGGTTTTCCTCATAAGATCTCTTTCAGGTGTTGATCAGTGGATTTTTTTCTATTTCTATTTCCCCCTCTTGTTCTAACACTTCAGGACAATTTCTTTAATTATTTGTATTATTGTGTCAGGATTCTATTTTTTTTTCATTGTAGCTTTCAGGTAGTCTGATTATTCTTATTTTTTCTCATCTTGATCTGTTCTCCAGATCAGTTGTTTTGTTTGTGAGATGTTTCTTATTCTTTCCAATTTTTTCATTTTTTATATTTTTTTTATTATTTCTTGATCTCTTGTAACATCATTGGCTTCCCCTTGCCCAATTCTAATTTTTGAAGGAGTTGTTTTCTTCCTTAAGATTCTGAATCTCCTTTCTAATTGGTTGACTTTCTTTTCATAATCTCCTTGTTTTTCTTGAGTTGTTCTTTTTTTAAAATTTTTCCTCAATCTCTCTCATTTAATTTAAAAAATTTTTAAGTTCTTCTATAAATTCTTTTGCTGCAGGTAACCATTTGACATTACTCTTTGGGGGTAGGAGAGGCTTTTTTCCCTTCAGTATCCTCCTCTGAAGATGAACCCTGATCATCTCTATTCCCAAAGTAACTTTTTATTGTTGGATTCTTTCTTCTTTGCCTGCTCATTTTTTTTTTAATTTGTGGCAACTTATTTTTTGTAATCCCTCTAGTCCTGGGGTATGGGGGATGGTGCCTCTGGCCTCACATCTTCCTTCTGTTCTCACCTCTGGCCTGGAACCAAAACCAAGACCTCTGTCCTCCTGAAATGCCCACAGCCAGTGGCAACCCCAACCCGCTGCTTCTGCACCCACCAGGAGTGTGCTGGTTCCTTCTCTCCCAGGGCTGTGTCTGTGCAGCACAGCTGAGTCTGACATTCCTTATCAG